GGAAATAATTAGATTTTACAATTAACATTCCAGAGGATTTCTTGTTCCTTGCTAATCATTTACCCAGTGACAAGGCAAGAGCAGGTTTATAAGCTCAGGAACCTACACGGGGGGAGCGTGGAAGGACAAACGTGGTAATTTGATTTATTTATCTCTTTCAAATAAAAATACCCACATTTTAGTTTGGTTTGTCACTTTTAATCCATTCTTATTATCTTAGCAAATTTTTTGGTAAAAGCAACATCCAGGGGCTCACAAAATGCAGCAGGTGAAGTGAAAAAGGCCATGTTTTCCAGGGACAATTTTCCAATTTCCTTTCAGTCTGGCCCTGTACTTCCAAACCTTGCATTTCCAATCAAAATTTGTTGACCTCTAATAAGTCTCCTTTTGATATTTTCTTCCCTTGATGTCTGCACTGATTATCAGTGAAAACAAGTTCCTTTCTTTATTTCCTTACTCTGGAAGTCTTTGACTGCACAGCATCTCACCCGAGCACAATTCCCAGGGTGGACAGCAGGAGACTGACTTTTCTCACAAGAAAAAAAAAAAACACAAACCCAAACAAAACCCCAACCAAACAAGCGAAGAAGAAAAGAAAAATAATCACATATTCCACCACTGAGAGCTGCTATCTGATAAAAACAATTCTCTCTGCTCGGTTGCAGTGTAATTCCTCCTTCACCTCTCCTGCATTTCACAAGGTCTCCCTTAGCAGGTTTAATCAAGTTTTCCAGGATCTCGTTAGATATTTAAATAAGGACATGCCCCCTTAATTTGCTCAAAAGGAAAGGACTGGATTAAGGTTTGCTTTGACTCGTTTGTTAAGCATTAAGTAATTAGGTTTTCCTTGTTGTTACAGAGGGGGTAAACATGGTCAGGGCCTAAAAAATCCAATCTGCTCCCTCTCCAGGTTTGACCCACCAAAAACTTTCTTCCAGGTGGGTACTCAGGGATGACCTCAATCAAACAAGGAGTGAATGGCTTTAAACTGCCAGAGGGCAGGGTTAGGTGGGATATTGGGCAGGAATTCTTCCCCTGGGAGGGTGGGGAGGGGCTGGGATGGAATTCCCAGAGAAGCTGTGGCTGCCCCTGGATCCCTGGGAGTGTCCAAGGCCAGGCTGGATAAACTTGGAGCAACCTGGGCTAGCGGAAGATGTCCCTGCCCGTGGCAGGGGTGGCACTGGATGAGCTTTAAGGTCCCTCCCAAGCCAAACCAGTCTGTGAATCCATGAGATGGGAATGGATGAGTAAAATACCAGTGCAAAGAAAATAAGGATATCCATCATATTACATGTAGCAAACACAGATAATTACCTGGACCATCTATAGCCCCACCAAAAAAAAAATCTGGTAAAATAATAAGGATGGATTACAAGTGACAAGCCAAACTAAAATATGAGTATTTTTATTTTAAAGAGATAAATAAGTCAAATTAACGATGTCCTCCTTTTCCAACACCACAAACCTGCACAGAGAGCTCAGCCATTATCATCCCTGACTGTAAACCAGCTGCTGGGATTCAAAAAAATACAACCTGGCTCCAAAGTGGTTGTTTATCCATCCAGTTCTTTCTTACACAAAAAGGGGAAAAAAAAATAAAAAAAAAAGATGCATCACCTCCCCAGCTGAGTTCAGAAAGAGCTGGAAAAAAGGGATATATAAACTGCAGGATCAAGTAAGGAACGGTGACAGAGCCTGGAATTCAGAGCACACCAATCACTCTGAACAATAAAAACACCAGTTGATGCTGGTTATAAATTAATACCCCCAGATCATTCACAAAGTACAGTTTTTAGAGACACCCTGTGTGTTCACAGCATTTAATATTGCAGGGAGCCACAGCAAATAAATCTCCAAGCCTAATCTATGTATGTTCTATAAATCCACTCCCAGGGAACATTTGTAGAGGGTTTGCAAGGTTTCCACACTCCCCCTTGCTTTACACTTCCTGAAAATGTTTATTTTAGTTGGTATTTTCCGTGGCTGTTGTGACTCCTGTCACTTGAAACAGCCCAGAAACAGCCACAAAGTGTCAGCACAAAGCAGGAGAACAACAAGACAAAGCTCAGAAAGAACAAAGCCCACTTTGAAAGCAGAAGACACCTGCACAAATACTTTATTTTTTGGGGAAAAAAAATAACCCAAAACTACTTCAAGCGAAGAATAAACCCCCCCCCAAACATATAAATTCAAGTGAAACAGCCTAGATAAAAACAAGGAAGTTCAAGTGCACTTATAGTGGATAATAAAAGGAATGGTTTGTTTGCTATCTGCAGTGATTTTTTTTTTCCTATGAAAACATTCACCAGAAGACAAATATTTAATATTACTCAAAAGCAACAGTCCCCGTTTAAAGCTGTTCTGTAAGAGCAACAACTCTGTTAAGCAGGCAGTGTTTATAACAAAAACGTGCTTTTTATATCAGACAGTTTGTGCAAACTCGGCAACATTTCCAGCCCAGTACACTCTGTACCAACAGGGCTTGCCAGAAACCCGGCACTCCAGAGGCATTTCCCTGTTAACTGTTTCTTTCAAAAAGAAAAAGGACCCACCGTGGCACTTCCAAACCCTCCTCACCAGCGGTTACAACGTTTTGCCTCTCAAAAACACAAGGAAAGATTAAGGTGAATGCAATCAAAATAAATAAATATCGATGTAAGAACAGCAGAATGATTTCAGCTGTGTAAATCAGAAGCTGATGTTTCAGTTTGAAGCCAGAAGGACACAAAGCCAACCATTACCACGTTACTCACAAGGCTAAATCCTCCTGGACACTGACTCTGGTCAGTAGTAAAGGCTTCTTATCTTCTCCCATCTCTACTCCAGGGAACATCCAAAAGCCCCTTTGCATTCAGCAGTGGTGCCCATTTTTTACAAAAATATTTAAAATATTGATGAAATGTTAAAACATTTAGGAATTTTAAGGGAGAAGGGTGGTTATGTTACAGTTTCACCACAGGCACTCCCTCCCACAACCACAGTGTGGTTCAGAGCAGAAAACCAGGCTGGAATCACGAAGGAAATGGGCATCCACAGCAAAAACCTACACACCCCTGGCGGCTGAACCTCTTCAAACCTTAAAACTGGGCTGGAACGTGAGGAATTCCAACTTTTATAGGGAATTTCCAGCCATATGGCCCCTGCACAACCACCCCTCCTGACCCTGTGGGGAGGAACATGGGGTACAAGCAGCTCAGCGAGCATGTGTGGGACATGTTTATTTTACCTGTCATATATATATATATTATTTTACCTGTCATATATATATATATGTATATTTTACCTGTCATATATATATATATAGTCACAACCAGACTTCTGTCTCTTGAGGGCAGAAGCCACCAGGGACTAAAGCCCTCTGTGCAAAGCACCCACTGCAGACAAATGACCAACCAAACCATCATAGTGTTATTTAAGAGTAATAAATAAACCCAGGGCAGCTCTGATCACCAATTCTCTGCTCACTCTGCCAGCTCTGCTAAGGGAAAACCAGATTATTTTGGCAGCAACAAAGCCAGGCCCTCTGCTCCACACCCACACCCCCCTGACCCCAGCCCGGGAGCAAAGGCCTGAACTAACTGAGTCACTCATTGAGTTTAAACTAATTCCAAGCTGTGCCTGGGGAGGGCTTCTGCTCCAGCTGAAACCACCCCCTGAATCTCACACATTGTGGGGCTGCAGGACCTTCAGCCCAACTGCTCTGACCTGCTGAACTGCCTTTATTTCACAGGCAGAAATACCACCTCTGAAAAACCTGATCCACCTTCACAAAAATCTGATAATGTCATTTTTGGTTGTGACGGCCGTGCCTGACACTCCTTTTGTGCCTCACCCTCGTGGGCACTGCACAGCACAGCTAATTCTCTGCAAAGCTCCCATCAAATAAAGTACCACTGTATAAAGAGCCCCATTTTCCCAGCACACACATTTTTGAGAACTCCCTTTACCCCGAGCAGAAGCCCCAGCCAAAGTTAGGGCAAGATGGCATAAAGTTCTGTGAACCCCCACTTTCTGTAGGGGTTTATTTGGTTCCAAAATGTCACATTTCTCACATCTGATGGGGATCTACATCTGCAAATGCTCAGCATGTCCCAGTGACAGGCTGAGGCCAGGCTGACTGTGTGTTTTGTACACACTGACAACAATCACAGCCAGCCAACCTCGAGGAGTCTTTGTACTCCAAATGCACTCTGTATTCTTTTCTAATATATTTATACAAAATATCTTAACTCCTTCCATTTTCTTCAAGCGCTGTGTAATCAAAGGCTTTTAAAAAGTTACAGTTGGGGGGATTTCAGGGTTGTATTTTTCCTTTTGTTCCTTTTTTCTTTTCATTTATTTATTTATAATCTCATCCCAGATGTGGCATCAAATGCACACAGCGGGATGTCCTTAAGCATTACTTTGTAGAGTTCTTTGTGTCACCATCCAACACTCTTAATCACATGAGGATTAGCAAGAAGACTTAGCTGGGAGTAGTGTGAGCAACAAAAGAGCAAAATGAATATCTCCTGCTTTTAAGCATTTCCACAACACCTCTGCTTTTCCCAGCTTCCCCAGAACACAGAGAGGAGGTGGAGCCAAAACCAGGTTTAACTTTCATTTATCATTTCGTTGCCTCCTTGTTTATCCCAGCACAGAAAAGCAACCCTGGACCAGAACTCCCTCCTCCTGTCCCACACCCTGGAGACACATCCTGGATAACTGCACAGCTTGAGTGCTGAGGAAACTTGGGCTGGGTGGCCAGGGGGGAAATGCTGAGGCACCTCCGGGTTCCTGGTCACAAACCCCAAAGCCAGAGCAGCCACTGGTGTGGTTTGCACAGCACTGGGAACAGCCAGAGGAGAGGGAGCACAAGGATTTGAGAGTCCAACATTCCACTACAACTTGTGCACTCCATTAGAAACCAGGACACAAACAATTCCAGGTGTGAGTGGCCTGGAGTGGGAACTGCCTTCCACAGGCACTGGGGAACTGTCCATGTCTATCACAGGTCCTACAGGTCACTGTTCCCAATCCAACACGTGCAGTGCTGATCCCAGCAACCAGAGAAAGCCTCTGGCAAACTGTACAGATAACAAGAAACATCATTTTTAGGACACAGTCATTCATTATTCATCCTGACAGGTTCCTTTAAATGGATACCTGGGATTAAACAGCCACAACTCCAAAAATTCACAAACTGTAACGTGGAAAAGTCCAGGACAGAAGTGGATCTGCTGACAACACAACTTCAAGGCAGAAGAGGAATGAAAACCTTTCCCTCTGACACAGATGGACTAACAGAAAATCAACAGAAGTTTGTTCTCCCACGAAATTATGAGACAGCACAACAGTAGAAAAGTCATTTTCTATGCAGAGCCCTTAAAGCTGAATTAACAGAGGACTATTGCATAGTTACTGCTGGCTATCATTTTAAATACATTAAAGCCTCTACTTCCTCAGACCAATATTTAAAATAAACAAGAAGCAGCAGGCAAGCACAGCCACTTCATTAAAGTGATTACAGAGACTCTCGAACCAAGACTTAATTTGAATTAATAGTAAAGATAAAACTGAGTGCACAGACAGCCATAGAGAAAGAATGAAGTTCTGAAGAGAATGCAGTGGGTTGATGGTATCATACCCCAAACACCTGATGAATTCATTAAACACAAATGCTCCCCTTGGCATATTCCAGGATACAAGACAAGCAGTTCACACTTGAAAGATCAGATGGATATCAAGCTGACAAATAACCAGTGAGCATCTTCACAGCTGCAGGACACAGGCAGAGAGTTTTGCAAAAAAAAAAAAAGCAGCAAAATTTGCATTAGAAACTATGACAGAGACAGCCAAAGTATCAATACCAAATGTGATTAGTTCCAATGAACAGCTATTGCACTTCTAGGGAGAACAGGAGTCACTTGTGACACCGCCTGAGGTCATAGAGTGTTATCTCTGCTCTCCAGGGCAGGATTGCTCCCTTAAAGCTCCATCCTGGAGCTGAGAGCCACTTTCCCCCAGCCACGTTCCCAAGAGGAGACCCTCAGCCCATTAGTTGCATAAACTACTCCTCTAGTCCTCCTCACCCCAGCAGAGCAGCTAAAAATATGCAGCAAGACGTTAAAAGTGCAGTGCCATCAAAGCACTTTTGCTGGAACAGAGGAGCCGACGATTTATGGGCTCTTTGGTTTTGCTGCTTTTATCAGGCTGGTTGGTTGAAAGAAAATGCACACATAATTACTTAATCCCATTAAAACAGAGACAAACGAGGGCCCAGAACTCCCCAGCTCAGCAGTTTGAGCAGGGGAAGGTTCTGAACTCCCAGTAATGAATCACTGGAGCCTTCTCAGCTCCTTCCCAGCCCCGGGGGTTTCGGCTGCCTCAGCTCTGGCATCTCCCAACCGCTCCAGAGAGTGGGATTGGGAATGAGGGAGAGCTGCCACAGCTTTCCCAAGCCACGAGGAATCCAAGTGACAACATACCAATGAAACCAAACAAGTAAATTCACAAGAAAATACGGAAAATCAAAAGTCAGTTGCTTCTTCCAGCATTTGGGGATGACAAGCAGGAAGACTGAGAGACGGCAAACGGTAATTTGGGGTTGTTTTTTTCTTTGAACACGGCATATTTTGGCCAGTTTTGAGTTTCAGAAGCTCACAGAAACTCCTATTCGGTGTGTTATGTTAACAGACAAAATGTAAACTGCACCGGGTTCTCGAAGAGGGGAGGGTAAAGCAAACAAACATCTTCCCAGAGGATGTGTAACACAGGTTTGCTGGGAGTTTTACTACCGGGAAATAAATCAATGTGTAAAATAATTGTAAAACCTCGCTGGAGAACTGAAAACTGAACTCATGGAAATTCCCATTAAATTCAAACGTTACTTTCTCCAAGACAGTGATGGGGTTTTTTATACATATACATATATTTAATGTTTCTTTAAGCACCAGGATCTTTTGGTCCCATTGTTAACACACAATAAATTTGAGCAGTGCCCCAAACAGGGACCCTACTCAGCCACCCTACACCAGCTGAGTCATGTTTGCTCACTGATTACACTTTGTGGGATCACTGGGAACCTTCCAGGACAAGGCCAGGCAGGAAGGAACCCATATCCCAAAACTGGAGGGATTAGGAATTCCGGCTTCATTTTTGAAACTAAGCAGTGACAGTCTCACATTTTCCCTTCACACTTTCCAGGCCTTAACTGTGGTTTACAGCAAAAGAAATAGTAATAAAATAATGCTTACTATGGTCTGGGTTAGTTTAGGAAAAGGCAGAGAGGGACTGAGCAATAATCCCACATCCATCTGGGACAGGGGTTCTTTTTAGTGGAATATTTAAGATATCTTAGTATGTTGGAGCAATGAAAATCTCACTTTGCTTTGTATAGAAAATCCAGATTGGACTCCCAGCTGAGGGCTGTCAAGGACAGCAACAGAACCCTTAAGTTATCTTTAAGTTATTAAAAATCTAATGCTAATACCAAATAAACATAAAATATCACCTTTCAATAAGCCAGTTGCACCTTAGAACAAACCTATAGAGCTTCTGCCAAACATACATTCCTCTTGATGCCTTTTGAAGTGGCAGAATTCCCAGGCACATTCAGGAACACCACTGGAAAGAGCAGGATTTTTCCCATCTCTTTAGGGAGCTGTATGAAATTCTTACAGCCATCCAAAGAAAAGAACCACTGCACAATTATATCTTCATCACCTACGACTGGCTGTTTCCCTCGGTGCAAAAGGCATTACATTATTTGTGTTCCAGAAGAGACAGAGCAACTACAATGTCATGGAACAAGCAGAGCTCCAGAAAGGCTTTATTGAAAAGCTGGTGTTTGTTCCCTGCGGTCCTGCTTAGAAACTGCCACCTTCTGAGGCCAAGTTTATCAACACCCACACCTTAAGATAGGAACTTCACACTTCCCTTTCTCCAGGAACGAGGTGCTAACTCTGCCTGGTGATCTGTCCAACCCGCCCAGGGATTCATGACACAAACCTGAACACTTCACCTCGACCCCTCTGGCTCCCTGACTGCTCCAAACACCCTGAGATTTGGTGCAAAGACTGGCAAAGTGTCCTGGAGGAGAACAGGGCTCAGGGCTGGGAAGGTTGAGCGGGAAGGGCTGTTCTCAGGGGCACTGAGGGAACACCCGAGTGACTGTGCCAGGGCACAATTCCAGCTGGGAGAAGGCAGGAGAGAGGGAGCTGAGGGCTGGGAGCTCAGCCTGGAATAGAAACTGAAACTGGGCCTTGGCTCAGGCCAGGCTGAGCTGGGACAGCACAGGGACCATTGCAGGGTAGGTGAGTGATTAAAGGCAGCAGCACAGGCAACGTTCTGCCCCCAGCACTGTGGGACAGCAGTGCTGGCACTGCCCAGCTCAGGGGAGACACTCCAGGGTGTGATTAAAGGCAGCAGCACAGCCTGTGTTCTGTCCCCAGCAGTGCTGGCACTGCCCAGCTCGGGGGGACACCCCAGGGTGTGATTAACCCCATGGGCTGTGATTAAAGCACCACAGCCCATGTTCTTCCCCAGCACTGTTGGACAGCAGTGCTGGCACTGCCCAGCTCAGGGGGGACACTCCAGGGTGCTCTACGTCAACCAGAAGGCAACAGCATTTCAGCACCGTGCCTTTAGCGTGTGCTTTCCCTTCCAACTCCTCATTTAACTCCTGAAACATCAATTTTACACCATTTCACTCCAAGTTCCAGTTGTCGTTATATGAGTGACTGCACCACGCACTTGTCTGGGTTTTTTAACCAAGGGACTAATACTTAATAATTAATTATAATAAGTAAATATTTAATATTTAACCAGCTGCAGAACTCCTCCCTTTTCTTCTCCAATTGAAACCCCCAGTTCCCAGGGGCAAAGAGCAAAGGTAAGAATTCCTCCTCAGCCTTAACCATGTCTTACAGCTCAGCTGTTTTCCACTTGCTCCTCCTCTTAATCCAGTGGTTTTGTTTCCATATTTACAACAGGCTGCTTTGGAAAGGACCCATTCCAGCCTCAGCACCGGTGGATTCAACAATCCTTAGGAACAGACTCCAGGTTTCCAAAGCTCCCTTCCCCAGGCACCGCTGCTCTCGGATTTCATGGCTGGTCACCCACACCCTGAGCCACAGAGCAGATCCCAAAACTGCCACATGGACACATTTCCAGGTATCCAAGGTACTTGTCTTACAGATTCCTGTCAAATCCTTGGATAAGTAAGTGCAGGTGGATAACTAAATCCACTTAAAATGAAAACAGTCCCAGAACTGGGGTATAAAAGAATTCTGTACTGAGATTTATAACCTTTAATAGGAACTTTATAACAAAAAAAGTAGCTTTTACGTAATGGAAAACATCTCTCTGTAAAGAGAAATGATGTGTTAACGTCAGCAGAGTCATGTTCCCGTGTTTTCTGTTTGCAATCCAGAACCATGTTTGTCACTAAAAGTTCATTAGTTATTCTAAAAACTGCCTTACCAAAAAGCAACTGTACACAATTTTATCATTACTATTATTTTTCCAGTCTAAATTCACCGGTGGAAGTCACCCTGTGTTCTTGGAATTACTCAGAACGTGCAAATACAAACATCAGTAATGAGCTCTATTAATGCAGATTTCACTTCAAGCTAACTCAGATTTACTTGGTGCACTTAAGTGAGTTCATTTCACTGGGAAAAAAAAAAAAAAGAGATCCCCTGAAGCAAAAAAACCATCAACTACTGGGGCTGATATTGCCCAACACATTGCTGAAAAAGAAATTCTTCTGATTGGATTTTTCCCCCCCCAGCAGCACTTTTAAAAATACAACCTTTTAATGATTGTTTAATTTTCATATAACTGGAATATAAATCCTTTCCATACTGCTTTGCTGCAGCTGCACCATAACGTCTCATTTTTCATGGAAAAAACCCCCCTAATTACGTGGTTCACCGAGTTGCCTGTGGTAACACATCAATTTTATTTACATTCACAAGTTGGACTCGGGTCTGTTCTCAGCACTCCAGCTAATCCCTAGCACATTTTGGACAATGGTTCTCTCTGATTCATTAGTGACACCTCACTCTGCTGTTCTGGGGAGGGA